CCAGCCAACCGAACGGACAACGGCGACTGCCTTCTTCAACTCTGTGCCGACCACGGATTGCTCCTGTCAAACACGATCTACTCGGAAACGCCATCGACTTACATGGAAACCGCCAACCTCTTAACTGCGCTGGACCCAAATCGATCACATCGTCCTCAGTTACCGCTTTAAGTGGATCGATCAAGACTGCCGGTCTTACTGGTGAAAACCTGTGGATACGGACCACGCTTTGCTACGAGCCAAATTCTCCTTATGCCTGGCCAAGAACCGTAAAAAAGCCACCGAAAACCGATACCCACGATACAACGTCAGCGACTGTTGCAAATCAGCCTTCAAAGCGGAACTCTCGGATCGCCTGTCAGTTCAATCACCAGCCGAAGGACTCAATGAACACTGGAAGCAAATCAAGGAAGCTATGCAAATATCAATAAAGACAACGGTACGCACGCTCAAAACGTAAACGATGGATCTCATCAATCTCGGCTGTCCTGCCGAACTTCCGATAGCGCGTATGACGAGGCGCGCAAATCTCTTAAACGCCAGCTCATCAAGAGTCTGAGTTATGACCGCGAGAAGTGGTGGATAAGAAAGTGTAGAGATAGAGAAAGCGGCGGCTATTAGTAATAGTTGCAATCTCTTTCGTTTAATTAGGAATACGGGTCCCAGGAAAATAAGCGTAAGTAAAGTAATTAAGGAATCCGATGACACACTGATTCACGATCAGCAAAGCCGTCTTGATCGATGGACTGAACATCTCGAGGCTCAGTTCAACTGGCCCCCGTCGACATCTAATTTTTCACTCTCCGCCTCGACTGGACAAATAGTCCCAGTTGATGCTAGTGCTCCATCTGAAATGGAGGTTTGTCGGGAAATAATGTATCTCAAAAGGCATAAGGCCTCTGGCCCAGATGGGCTGTTCCCATCAGCGTTTAAGGCTGGAGGCTCAGCATTAGTCTTGGAGTTAACAAAACTCCTGGGTTCAATATGGGAAAGGGGAGAGGTTCCAGCTGGATGGTGTGAATCGGTGATCATACCGATTTACAAGAAAGGTGATAGATCCTCTTGTGAAAACCACAGAGGAATTAGCTCAATCAACATCGTCTCTAAATTTCTCGCTGGCATCATGCTCCACCGATTGTTTGCCGCACGTGAACGGTGCACGCGTGAGAATCAGGCTGGTTTTAGGCCCGGTCGAGGTTGTATCGACACATCTTCACTCTCCGCCAAATTCTTTTCGTAGACCCACCATCTCTATCTTCCTAAATCTGAAGGTGGCTTTCGACTCAGTCGACCGCTCTAAACTCTGGCGCTGTCTTTCACCGAAAGGNNCAATATTAAGATCGCTTTATACTAATAGCCGAAGTCGAGCCCGGGCTTACGGCACTTCTTCGCCCAAGTTCACCACGGAAAGTGGTGTTCATCAGGGTTGCCCTCTTTCTCCTTTTCTATGTAACTTTGTTATAGATTTGATTATGGAAACAGCCCTATCCTCGTGCGAGGATAGCGATATCGATGTACTCCCAGGATGTAGACGGTCTGATCTGGAGTATGCACCCAACATTGTGCTACTAAGTGAAGATCAGGTAAGTCGCAAGCTTTTCTGGATAGTTTGAGTGCTAGTGTGGCCATGTTCGGTATGCGTTTTGCACCTTCAAAGTGTAAAATGTTAGTACAGGACTGTGTTGGTCCAG